CCCTGACATCATTTGACTAAACCACTCCAGTATTAGTTTTATTAAAACGTGAGAACTTGGGTATTTATCAGGCAGATTTACCCATATAATATTAACACACTGAAAAGAAGAAAGCTATCTTCAAGAAGCATTATTGATAGACACTATTACCTTCAACAATTTACAACTGCTTCACAATTTTTAATTAATATCTTAGGGCATAATAGAATATTCTGCTTAATTTAAAGGTCAACTATTTTTCTTTGGCAAAGAAAAAGGGATGACCTTCAAATCACATTTTCTTCTGTATCTCACATTTTTTAGAAAGTTATTACTTCATGTTATGTAACACGTATTGATACTACTTATTAATGAGATATAAAAATAAGGAAACCGTTATTTAGTTTTCTAAACATACATCAGAAAATATAAATAATGTATTTCTGTCTGATTTTAAACCTTTGCAATTATTGCATATATTCATCCACGGCGTACTGTAGGCTTCCTCCCCAGAGCAGTTCTAGCACTTCTCTAAGTATATGCTATTCCTCTTTATCCCTTTGAAGAAAAATGAATCACATCCACAGCTTGCAGCTATCAAAATTCGATTTATCAAGCATTTTGACAAAAGTGTGTATTACCTCTTCTTTACACTAGGAGGCACATTTTTCCTTCATACAGTTTCATCTCACAGCTGCTGCATGAATCTCTTAGATACATTTAACAATTTCAATCTAAATTTAAGTCCCTGACAACCTATAGTAAACCACGCTGAAAAAGAGTTTCCACTAACAAGGTTTTGCTTGATGCTGATGAAAACCACACTGATAATAATGAAAAATGAGATTCTGCACCTGACTGCTGACAAACAAAAACACAGTTTTCTTTAGACTGACAATGGAAGAAATAACTCATATGAAATCACATCAGACACCTGTACATTTTTAACAAAACCAATCATAAAAGATGTTTATGTTAATAGTGCACTTATTTCATGTTAAACACATTACAAACCACTTAAAACAGGATTTTTCATAATAAAAGATCTTAAGTTGTACAACTAAATATGATTTTTTTTCCATTTTTTTCTATTTTTTTCTTTTTTTTTTGTCAGTTGGTTGATTTGTTAATGGGATTGTTAATTGTTCAAGGTCTTGAAGAAACAAAAAGGTAAATAACTTTCATCAGATAGATGGTTGATCATTGGAATATCATCAGTTGATTTTTATAGGAAATGTATGTGTATGTATATACATTCAGATTATTCAAAAACAGTACTTTCCAAGAAAGTACAGATTCTCCTTTACTGTGTGTACTTTGGTTTTATAACAAACTATAAGAAGTGTAATATCTGCAGTCTTCTCCTGTTTGTCATCACGGTTGGAAAAAAAAAAAAAAAAAAAAAAAAAAAAAAAAAAAAAAAAAAAAAAAAGGGTAATATTGTGCTATTTTTCCATTTCTCTTGGCCCATGTTTCTGGCAAAGTCACAGTCAGCAAGACAAGGCTAAGATTCTTAATCTTTGCATTTAAGTTCAATAAAACACTGTAACATACACAAGGCTTGCCTTACTAATCAATAATATATGCAAAATTAAATCATTGTAACTATGGCTCTTGAATAACGAGACCTCCTGTAGTAAATTTGTATTATTTGTTATTATCACCTAATAATGCATAACGAAACTAAATGCAAGTGTCACTCTGTAGTGATATGCTGTTTTTAAACAAACTGAAGTGTTGCTCACTGGTGAGACCCTTCCTAAAAAGCATAACAAAGTGCTAACGAAATAAAGGTAGAATTAAGTAAATTACAACTGATGGGTCGTCGTAGTTCCCTGACAATTGATTAATATAGATCATGCAATGCTGAAATGAAAAAGATTTCTTAGTGAACAGAATGAAACACTTGAGGGGGGAAAAAAGAAAGAAAAAAAAAAAAAAGCATTTAAGTATAAATTTGGACTGCACACATCACTATTCAAGTTCATATAAAATTAATTTTTATTTCATATTTGTGTGTTATTGCTTTTCCCTCATAACTATGGTGACAGTGAGTGGCTGACACTGCTAGTGTTTACAGTCTCTCTCCATTTCAGTTTCTCCCAGTGAGAAAGACTGCTGCTTTAAGATTAGTCCAATGAGTTTACTCTCATTGTGTATGTTTTTTTTTATTAAACCATGCAATTGTTTCTGTCTCTTCTCTGTGGAAGTTAATAGTGTCGAGAAAATAAGATAGTAAGATTTCTCCTACATTCATATAACAAGTTATTGAGACTTTTAACTCCCACATACACTTTCAACATTGCAGGTTTTGAAGTTTTTGGTCACTGCTCAAAATTGAACTAAAATAGCAACATACTAATATTGACAAACAATGGATGAACTTTTATTTGCACAACTACAGAGCGTACAACACCAAACCACATAATTTACTGAGCATTAAAGCCATTTACCAAAATTGCTCTCACCCTGAGGCAACAACTTTACCATTAAGATTAACCCATTTTCCCATGAACTGCAGCAAACTTTCATAAAAATACTATAGGAAAAGTCTGTGTATTTTTCTGCAGATTTTTTGAGATCATTAGAAAATATTCTCGTAATTCTCTTCAGTTGAAATAGTTAAAATAATAATAAAATACTATTCATCAACTGTATAATCTAAATGTACTACACATACATGGGAGTATTACTAGTCTTCATTAAGATTTTTACCTTACATTATAGTAGTATCATTTACCTCAGAATTCAAAGTGTTTTCATAAACAGAAATCCCTTAAACAGTCAGTGAAATTAAACTGTCTCTTATTGCATTTCACTGCAATAAAACTGGAAGTTAAAATTAGGAGTGTCAAGGTATACAGTGTTAAGATAATACTATGTCAGTTACATTAACCATGAACATATGTAAATGCCCAGAGAGCAATTTTGTCCAATCACCTTTTTGTCCAATCTTCTGAAAAATGTCACAGGATCTTCAATAACCACAAACTGCTTTATACTCCATTTCACTTCTCATCCAAAAATGCATCCAGTACCAAAATAACTTTAGGCATAATGCCTAAACAATAACTTGATGCTGAATAAGATATAAAAGTCAAATCCATCTAATGGGCAACATCATTCCTTTCCTGCTTTGGGTTTTTCTAGGATGATTTCTATCACGTTAGCAACCACATCATTCCCCTTGTAGTTTGTGAGATTTTATGAGATATAGACTACACTGTTTCAATGTCCATTCTAATTCATTTTGATAAAAGGTGAAAAGCTTGCATGTCAATAGTTCACTATTCATTAGTAAAGTTTGATTGCTGTATTTTCATAAATTTCTCATTAATTTAGCATTCCCAAGACTAAATTGGGTGTAACTGCAGACATAATAAAACTTTTCGTATAGCCTTTAATAACACTTATTCACACTGATGTTCCAATACTGTATTAGGGATGAATAGCTCTTTATCATAGTTAATGTTCTTCATTTGAACAACAAGCTTCACAAAAAATTTGTAAAAACACATTTTTAGTAACTTGACGTGAAGTTTACTGGGCACATTTTTTTTGAAATCTTCTATGAATTTTATGTCACATAAAGAAAAAATGGGCAACTCAGAGTCTGCAAAGCCAATGTGAAAGTGTCATCCAGGCAATGATGCCTTAAACCTCCTCTCTGATCTTGTTAAATTCTTCATGCAGTCAGAGAATTAAAAGGATAATTCCGCTTAAGACCCTCCCTCACTTAAATAAATGTAAATTCTTTGCTCCAGAGTCAATGCATTCATAGTTGCTAATCTATTACAGTTCTTTGCATTCCTACAGACTTAAGGTTTAAGGTGATAGACCCAACAATACTTCTGTTTAGAGGAGAAAAGAGTCAGCTATCAGATCCAGAAAAACAGGAAGGAGAAGGGGAAAAACAGAACAAAATTCAGACAGGAAAGATTTTCCTTCCCCTCCCCCCTCCCCCCTCCCCAGAGTTTTATAGTTTTATCCCACATATCCTCTTTATACTCCCTTAAAAAAGTATGAAAAAAAATAAATAAATGCTCCTAAGGTCAATAGTCCATCGTTTACGTTCTCATTCACCGTGACTTAAATGTAATTCAAATCCAGTTCTGCCCAAATGAGAACACAGGTCAGAATTTTGTGCAGCAGATCCCAGTGCCACCTTCCTTCCCTGTTATACAGACTCACTAAAAATTTAATCATCTATAAAAAAGGGAGAAATGTCAGAGGAAGAAATTAATCCTTATTTCTGTACTCCCAAAATGCAGGAGAATGCAAGTTCAATTACCTTCCAAGAGCAGAGACAAGGCTTTTAACCTTTGTCTACACATTCTAGACAGAAAACAGAAAGCTTAATGGCAGTGTTATTGCCCTCCTCCAGTTTTCAGTGTGCCCAGGTCTCCATCTTGCAATGGCAAAGAACTAGTCACAGCTTTTGATAAGACCTCACTTTTTTTTTTTTTTTTTTTTTTTTTTTTTGGGTACTGACTGTCACTAACACTGCAATCATGTAAATTTATTACAGCAAAGAAGGAAAAAAAAACAAAAAGCAAGAAAAAAAACACTTCCCAAAGTAGGTACATGCTTAGTAGTTGCATTAAAATGCTCAAAAAAATGTTCCAGAAAGCAGATCATGCCATTTCAACTTAACAAAGAAACCATATGATCCTTGCGGTAAGATGGGGATATTATAGGTATGTGACAGGGCAACCTCCAAAAGCCCAATGCTAAATGACATCAGCGCTGCAGACTACTTCATAAGATTTCCTTCTTTCTATCCATTCTCACCATGCAAAACTGCCTGGAGCTGTTTTTTTCTCATTGGACATGTCTCTGTTTCTTCAGATGAATTACAACACGAGGAACTTCAAGCAAACCACATTATCTTCTACCAAGCATTATAAGCTAGACGACCAAATATTCATGCAGGTGCTTAAAAATATCTCTAACAAATCTGAAAGGGAAGGAAAAGAGTGACCAAAGCAATACAGGTAAGCAGAGCTCTGTCAGTGACTCACCCGAGTTGGGGTCGGAGTTGCCATCAGCTTCAGTCCTCTTGTCTGGTGAGGCCTGGTCGTAGAACTCATCCTGCGGCTGAACCAGAGGGAGAGGGTGTGAGATCAGGGTTCCACCACCCACCGGCTCGTGGTCTCCCAGACCACTGTCACTGCAGCTTTCCTGGGAGCCATCGGGGAGGTGAAATGTAACACGGCGCTGGGACTACAAAGAAGAGCACAGGACATGCTGATTAGTGCTCTTCTTTTCTGTTCTCCTGATTTTTTAAAAAAACTTTTGAAGTACAACTAGTTTCCTGGCAGTGCTGGAGAGGCAATTGAGTTTGCTGGTGATTTTTTTAAATTTATTTTTATTTTTGCTTGCTTTTAGAGCAACCCAGGGAAGACAGCAGACAAAAGTACTCATGTGCTCATCTGTGAAGTAACCTTCTCATGAGACAGTGATCAGCAGACCTTTAGGTATGTTTCTTATCATTTAAAAATTGCGATCTATGAACACTTCCTGATAAGCAGAAATAAACATTGGCAAACTGTTATGAAATGCAAACATTGGAAAATGTAATAAATATACTCTCCTGAGCTTAAAACCCATACTATCACTGCTCATATTATTGAAATTAAAAAAAAAAAAAAGCCCAAGTTAAACAAAAAAAATGTATATTTTTACTTTGTCATCTTTCAAGAATTGAAGGATTTATATGGATATTGAACTGATATCAGCACTCTACCTAATACAGACATTTAACTCTGATAATGTAACTGTGAAACTGCACTGATCAACAATGAATCACAGAATGCAATGATGGAATATGCAGTTATCAGTTCTGTAAGAAATATAAAATTACAACTCAGGTATTTTTCTCAAAGCAACACGGAGAATGGCAGCCAGAACTGTAATTTTTCTTGAGCTTCTTAAGAAAGAAAAAAGTCACTGCAAAAGTAAAAAAATAAAAAATAAAAATAAAAATCCACATTGTGCATTTGGTTTAGTTGGTCATTACTGTGAAATTCTCATCTGGAGAAATAGCTTGACTTCATGAGTTGTGGCCACAGTATAATGCAGCAATTCCCTGTGCACTCCAGAGCCGTTAGCACTATTGTGAGTTGTTTAGCACTAGCAGCTGTAGCATTCATGAAAGGAATATAACAGGTCTTCAAGGATCAGAATACAGCATTTCTGAAGCCTCAGAAACAACTAGTTCAAGGCCATCTCAAGAGGGAGGTTAAATTAAGTTAAGCACAACTTTCCTCAAAAATGAATTTCAGCAGCAGGGAGCTGCTGAATCGGATCAATCTGGTTAGCTAGAAAGATTTAAAGTGAAGAGATTCACAAAATTTGCAGTAAGTTTAACAACGGTTTGTTTAGTGTTTTTTTTTTTTTTTTTTTTTTTTTAAATGAGAAACCCTTGAGTTAATAGTGTTAACTGTATGTTTGCTTATTAAAAACTATTTGTTAATGGTAATTGCTGCCATTTTACATGATTATCAATATTTTCTATGAGGTTTCCTTTTATTCATTTCCCTTGGGTAGACACAGATACTTGATTAAGTCAATTTTCAATTACTTTCGTGCAAGTCAGTATAAAAATAAATGTACTATTTGCTCTTGGCTGTGATTTTATAATTAGTATCTTACTTTTAAGTTCCTTTCCTAGCTTTAGGATTGGAATCCAGCTTAAAAAAACAAAAAACAAAAAAAAACCCCAAAAACCCAGATCCTCTGAGTCACTGAACTGTATTAGTTTATACCAACAGAAATCTTAACTCTATATACTGTCAGTAAGCATTCTTTTACTTCAAGCTTCAATACTTTTTCTTCCAGTATTTTCACTATGGAATTGCCACCCTGAACAATTTCTCTAATCACTAACTGATATTTTTCCTTTAAATTTGAACAAAATATACTTAAGCACACAGCTTAAAAAAAATCTTCTCTTCCTACATTTATTTTCAGTAACCCAAATTACAAATCTGTTTTTCCAAGGTTAAGAATTTATGTCACTAGTAAAATCAGTAAGCAGCAGAGGAAAAGGAGATTAACTTCTTAACCTAAACTAAGCTAAAAGACTTCATAAGAAAATATGAATGACTGAGAAAAGTCCTTAAAGAGGAGAAATGAACATTTCAACATTTTGGAAAATAATTAAACTGTTGCACTTAATTTACCACCCAAATATACTGAAAAAAAATATGCAGTTATACAAATGGACAGTTTCATGGGCTGTGAAGCAGAATTACTGATCTTGGTTACCAAAAAGCTCCTTATCCTAGCCAAAATCTGTTCTGACTCTAAACTGACAGTCACTTTGTAAAATGGCAGAGGTTGAATACTGATATGGCAACTCCTCAGTTTTGTAAATTTTTAAGCTCGCACTTTGAATGATAAGAAAAAGATATATAAGTTTGGTTGTATGGCTTTCCAAGCGTCTCAATAAGGACCCCACCAATCATAAAGAATTACAAAACTCTGAGGGTCCCTTAAACAGTCATCCAGATTCAGAGGTGACGAAGGGGCAGCATGCAATCAGTCAGGAAATGTCAGACTAAGCCATGCCATCAAAACACTGAGAGGAAAAGCCTTCCACAAAGAGAGACTCAAAGCCAGTGCTTTAGACATATCATGTCACTCAAAGGGGAAGACAATCCATTCCATCAACTGGAATCTTATTAGTGTCTTAAAGAATGTTCCATGCAGCTGCCTGCTCCATGGACCCAAGCCCAGTGCTGCTCTCACAGCCCATACTCTCCTCCCTCAGGCTGGCAGGTGCAGCAGGCCTGAACACCTCCAGGCTTACCAGCACACAGCACACTTATGGGCGCCTCAGTCACCAACACAGCCCCTCTGCCTGTTCGGATAACACTACCTGGCTCTCCAGCTCTATCATATTCAAAGAACAGGCCCCTTGATACTCCAGACTGGTAAACACAGGCCCATTTGTGAAGACACTGTGGAGAGGCACCAAAGAGCAATCTAAGAGACAAGGAGGTACCAGAGTCATATGTGTACCTTGACATCAGTACCATCTATGGGGGAAACTTAAAGACTCCCTTGCAAGAATCCCTTGATTGGTAGATGCAGGTGCACTGTGAGATTTAACATGCATGAAATAGGAGAGAACTTTGTGGGAATTGTATAATATTCATATGTTAAATGTATCTAATGAGGGTGATTTAGCTCTGGAGTGTGCATGCCTTGTTGAGAGATCAGCGTGCACACAGTGCTGTGAAAAAAACAGTGTCAGCTTTCTAAAGTATCATTTGGTTTAGAGAGTTTTCTTGGTTGTGGTTCTTGATAACATTTATACGCACTCAGGTCCTGCCATGAGCTGCTGCTGAGCCCTTGCAGTACTGACACACACAGAACAAGGAGTGAGATTACTCGGAGAGACAGTTAAGAGATTAAATGACAACACAAGACAGACTGTGGTGATCAGCCCCATTTTGTACCCCTTTCTGATTGTTCCTCTTCTGTTTCCTTTCAGTCTCCTTCCCCTAAACTTTCATTCATAAACTTGGCACTGTCCCTCAGATATCCCAAATCCTCACATTCCCTTGTTTCACCCTTTTCATAAGTTACAAAGTCCAGGTTGGCCCTCTCCAAAACTGCTGGAAAAGTTTCCATTGCCTAATGACTGGAAACTTTTGCTCCTTGGCACTGTCTCCCTTGTCTACAAAATGTGTGTCCCTGGTTTACGGCTTCCCCTTCTAATTATTATTTAAATGTCCTTGATTAATGAAGCAGATGCTCTCACCTTCCACAAATCTTTAATGAAAACAGGCTGAGTTAGATCCTTACAATGCAAGGTTGTCCTTGCCTCTCCGACTCCTTGGACACATAAGATTCCTAAAATAACTGAACATGTTCAAACTGTTTTTTTAAAAAGCTATCCACTCACAAAAAGGCTTTTGCTTTCCAAGGCATACTGACTTTCTGTATATAATAATATCAGGGACTTCTTTCAGGAGAAAATCCTAGAGCATGCTTAGACTTTATTTTAATTTATTTTTATATTTTTATATTTTTATTTGGTTCCTCATGCAACCAAAGGAAGCTTTGAACTTTTTTTTACCTAAATACAATTAATTTATTCTAAAAAACATTGATACATGGTACAACTCTGGAATCAGTGATAACAAGAAACTACAGTTTTAATTATACTACAGTATATTTAGGAGACGTACATACAGAATGAGGTAGGGCTATGGTTCATCTCCATACCACGTGGCCAACCTTCAAATCTACAATCTGTGACATATTTGATCATAAATCATCATTTTTTGGGGAAAAAAAATGCAATACATGGGCTTTCTTTAGATCTGATTTTTAATCGGAAAATATAATATCTTTGTTCTGTAAAACTCAAAATTAAAAGGAAAACTCAATTAAAAACATCATTTGTGTCATTTGGAAAAACAAACAAACAAACAAACAAACAAAAAAAAACCCTTGTGTCAAAACAATTTTAGTATGTAACCCAGGACAATTTAATCAATATGTCTTTGAACCTGGGCTGAGTTTAAAAATCAGAAAAACAACTGATATCAGATGTACTGAATCATTCTTCTATTAATTACATTTTGCAGCAGATTCCATAAAGCTCATCCAGGTGAACCATGACTTCATTCCCACAAGAGGTACACAGAAAAAAATAATTCTGTATCTTAGATGGTGACAAAGGATAGCAAACTCTAGTGTTGATAAAAAAAAAAGTGTTGAAGCGTAATATGAACTTTCTTTTTCTCATTCCAGACAAGGTGGTCAGCCAGCTGATACTTTTACAGCAGTAACAAGCAGAAGTATATTAAATCAATCATACATGAAACTGGTCTAGCTACAAATAAAGAAGTAAACTTAAACAACATCTGGCAGTTTCTAACAACTGTAATTTGCAAGATTGATAGACATAAATAATAGTGGGGATTCTTGAAAATGACTAAGAATAAAAGCTCTTGAGGGGTTAGGGAGGAATGGATGGAAAAGGATAGAGATATTGGCACAGGCACAGAAAAGTAGAACCTGTGCTTGGCGTAGCATATTACATCTTTCTTCATTAGCACATTTTTATTTCAAGATACTGAAAGCATTTTAAAAATACATCTTAGCTGCATCTTACTCTTCTGTCACGTATTTCTCACTTCTGTTTTTTTTTGATGTTAGGAATTCTAATTGGAAATAAAGTAAAAACTACAAATATCTGGAGCAGT